AGGTGTAGAAAGGGCCTTTTACTGACAGAACCTGGTTGCCTGGCAACAGGCACTGAGGAGAAAGTACAGTTGGCAGCTCTGATTAGGGAAATACCTGGAAATTTGGGGGGTGGATCCTGTGGAGGGCAGCATTGGGGGGGGGGAATGGAAGGACTCAGCAGGGGATAATGGCATAGGGCCTCCAAAGCAGCCATTTTCTCTAGGGGAACTGATCTCTGTCATCTGGAGATACAATTGTAACAGCAGGAGATCTCCAGGTCCCACCTGGAGACTGGCAACCCTAAGGGAAAGTCAGCCGCACAGCAGGGGGTTGAATGGTTTGGTAGTCGCTGGCCTACCTCATTAGCCAGCCAGCCATGGTGGAGCCATTTTAAGTTTATTCTGACAGGAAAGTGGTGAAACTGACAGTGGGCGGGGGAGGGGGTTATGCTGAAAGTCCTTTGTTTTTTTACTGACAGAAGTTGGTTGCCTACCAACAGCCACTGAGGGGACAGTTAGTCACAGTTAGTCCCACACAGGAACCAAAAAAAGTGTCTTACTCAGGAGAGAGTCCGGCTTTCCAGGAGCCGCAGCTCGTTTCCTCTAGGCCAGACCCTCCCTGGTGCTGCTGCTGCTGCTGCTCAAGGAAGGCGGGGGAGCCTTCTCTGCAGTACATCCTGCTGAGCTATCACCCTGACAAAGTGCCAGCCTTGTGGCCAAGGGAGAGGGGCTGCGAGGGGCAGTGAAGGTGAGTGCTTCCCCTGCTTACTGCCACTTGCTAGGTCTGCCTCCTTCTCCCCTGTGGAGTGGTTGCTGCTCCCTTGGCGGAGTGTCTATCCCCTTAGCTGGCTCCCTCCAGACTGAGAGCGAGATGCTGGCTGCTGGCTCTGTGGGCGGGGCCAAGCCAACGCAGTGAGGCAATGCAGCCAGGGGATTAGGAGTCTGCGAGAGTGGCAGCTGAGCGGGCCAAAGGCTGTGGGAGTGTGTCCAGGAGTCACACCAAAACAGTTTTATTATATAGGAGAGATGTGCTAGTTCTTGCAGCTTTGGCAAAAGTGTTTTGCTGGACCATTTTTCCTTTTGCTGCAACTGATAATTAAAATACTGCATGTGAAGCTCATATATGCTAATGGGGTGCATGCCACGTTTTTCTTTTACTTCCATATTCCACTTTTCTTTCGACAGGGAACTCAAGGCTTTTATAGTGTCTGCCTAAATCCAGGCTCTGGTAAGGTCTAGGCATATTTCCAGAACATCATGGGCCTGCTCAGATATAAAGGGAAGATAGACTTTCTGTGCCTTTAACAGTTGTATATGAATACAGCCAGCAAACATGTGTGTCATATATAAATGAAATATAAAAGATAAGCATAACAAAATGAAGGAACAAAACAATACCCTATGCTTAAAGAAGGTTTGGAAATAGAATTCAACAAGACCTGAGCAATTAAAAAAAAAACCCTTCACCTGGTGCCAGATGCTCATTCTGCTCATTGCTAGGCAGATTGATGCGATGAACATGTTCCAACTCACAAGACTTTGCTTTTTATGCCAACCTATCTCAGAACATGAGTTTGGCCTCCAATAAAGATTTCAGCCAGGTACATTCTGGAACGTATGATCTTTCCAGTTTCCTGGACCCAAGCTATTACCTTCAATGTAAAAACCAGCATTCTGATATGATTCCTAAAATAAACAACCAATTCAATTGTTTCATCATTGGGGTAATCTGCTCCCTAGAGAAGTTTCCAGTCAGCAGTCTGGGTGCTTTATCTCATAGTACCTTTTGTACTGTCTAAGACAGGAATGTCAAACATAAGGCCTGGGGGCCGGAATCAGCCAGTCCAGGTCTGGAATCTGGCCCACAAGCAAGGAAGAGGAGGGTGGCAGCATCATCAAGAGCAGTGAAAAGACCCGCATCAGGTTGACTGGCTGGAGCATCCATCCCCCCCTTCCTCTCTCTCTCGGTTGGGTCAGGCTGTGCATACTAGGCTGCCACCCCCTCTCCTCCTCTTCCTATCAGAGGCACGGGGATGTTGCTGCCACCCCATCAGTGTACATGCTTGTTGGGCCTTCCCTTTCATTTCAGCAGCAGAAGCTGCCTCCTTCACCACTGGTTGCTGCCAACTTCTCCTCCTCTGCCCGCCTCTCTTGCTCTTTCTCCCCTGCACTGCTGGGGAAGTGGCCCTTTGGGAGGAGGGAAGGAAGAAGAAGGGAGAGAGAAAGGCATTATGTGTGAAGGTCGTGGTGCTGGGATATGCTGATGAAAACAGGTGTTAGGGGAAATGTAAGAATGGGAATTCCATACAGAGTGTATCTGGGGGAGGAGTATAAGGGACGGAAGGGGGGCACGGAAGGGAAGGGTTGAAGTGCATGCAATGGGGTGCATGGTGGGAACTGGACTTGGAAAGCCATGGGAGGGGAGGAGAAATTTAGCTTTTGGGTTGAGGGAAGGTGCTGAGTGTTTGTGTTTGGGAGGCATGCAAGAGCAGGGGCGTAGTTGGGGGCTAAGACAAAACAAGTCTTGAGCCACTTTAAAGACTTCATGAGGTTTTGTTACATCATCTTTTTTTCTTAGTCATCTGTCCCTTGCTTTTTCTCCCAAATGGGGACCCAAAGCAATTTAAAATTATTGTTCTCCATCTAAATGTTTTTGTTCTCACAACAACTATGCAGGGTATGTTAGTCTGAGAGAGTGACTGGCCCAAAGTCACCCACCAACTTCCATGGCAAAAGTGGGGCTTATGAACCTGGGTCTCCCAGTTTTTAGTCCTCATGCTTGAGCCTTAGCACCAGAGGGTGTATATATGTCAAGCATGCTTGAGATTTGGAGTAGAGTGGATTGGTGTGGATGAATCACACAAGTGGTAGGAGAAAAGGGCTGATTTAGGAGTTCTGGTCATTGACAGGTGGCTGGTGAATCTGTGGAGGGTTCATGATTTTTGTGGTAGATTAAACAAGTGTTGAGAGTGGTGGCTCCAGTTCCTTGAAGAGTTTATATTATATGTGTATTTTTTGGGGTGGACATCTCTAAGTGGGGAAGAAACCCTGCTTCACACACAAAAATACTTCCAGGGTTGTAGAGAAAAAGTTGCTGACCTAGTGTAGCAGGAAAGTATATTTTCAGAGAGGGAAGAGGACCCCTGGGATTACTTGTGCTCTCTGTGTGTGTGGGAGACAGACAGGAACAGTTTGTCTGTGGGAGGCATACTCAAGGCGGATTACACACTGTGTGTGTGAGACAGACAGGAACAGTTTGTCTAATGGTGGGAGGCATACTCAAGGCGGATTACACATAGTGAGTCAGTACTGTCGCCAAAATGGGACATCCACTCTGTTCCCCACCTACCAATGAAAGGAAGCCACAAATCGCAGGTAGGTGGGGGAGCAGTGTGATGCTGTACTGAAGGATAAGTTTTCTGAAGTTGGCATTAACAAATTTTACCAGTTTTGGAGTCCGAATTACTCCCAACAAGGCTTTTGCTTCTAAAATTCTGTCTATGTTTGGGACAGCGTATGTCTGTGAACAGCTCTTTTCTGTATAATAAATGTCAATAAAACAAAAGTACATTCTCGGCTTACAGATACACACCTAAACAGCATACTGATAATTGCTTCAGCACAGACGTCGACTATAGATTTTGATGCAATAATTCAGAGCAAGAGGTGTCAGTTATCAAAGACTGTTAAATAAAAGAAATACTGTAAGAATGTCAAAGTATTAAGCATGTTTGTATTTTAATATTGTTAATTGGGTTTGCCTGTGTCCTTTATAAAGTTTTATCTTTGGTACCTGGCATTTCGTTTTATGGAACTCATGGCTCAGCCTGACAAAGTGATGTTTATGTCTTTATGCCAGTAAAAGTACTGACTGATTGACATTTATGTCAGATCCAGCCCTTGTAATTGAGTTTGACACCTCTGGCCTAAGGCATATTACAGTGATCTAACCAGATAGTGACTAGGAGATAATGTAGATTTTGTTATTAAACATTTGTATATGCTAGTCTGATTTTTATTGTACCTGTGGCGATCTCCTTTCCACATAAATAAAAGTGTGAAGGGATCTATGTCAGTGATTTCTAACGTCAGATGCTTCACGGTATAGCCTATCTTTATATTTTCCACATCATTTATTTTCATGCCTTTCTTGCATATTTACATTATTTGTCTCTTGGACAGAGACCTTAAATCTACTGAAAGTATAGGATTTTATATTGTAGAATTGGATCGAATCACTAGTGAAATCTGTTATTGTTATCTCCAGCCTAAAGGAATCCACCTTAGTACCCAATTTCCCAGTGGCCGAAGTTCCCAGTTTCCACTGACACTAATGTTCTCACATCAGGAGAAAATAGTTTTATCATCTCTTGACTGCTTTCTTTAGTTTAGTTTTTACAGGACAGTTGGTGAGCATTAATAGTAATTATTTGAAGAATATATTGTGAAGGAAGCAGACTGCACCACAAAAATAAATTTGAAAACTGAATTGGTGCCCCCTCAGCTTCTCAAATAAATTTTTCTGGTGGGTGCTGGAGAAAGCAGAAACACATACCTCCTGGTAGGCTGATTGGCCCACAGCCCTTCTCCTTGCCTGGCTCTCCTTCTTGTACGTAGATCCTTTTTGTACAGAGCCGCCATAGCCCAAAGTGAGCTGCTTCACAAGTATCATTGTACTTCTCCACCTTAGGACTCAGCACAGCCCAGTGATCCGTCACCACAGCTGTAAACAGTAAGGCAACGCCAACTAAAATAATAACAAAAGTCACTCGGACTTTCAATGCCTTGCCTTCCGACATGGCTGGAAATTGCACAAAAACCTATACGATGGCTGCTGGCTCAGGATATATCTGCCAGTGCTAAGAACACTATGCAAAGAACATTGCAAGTTGTCTTCCAAAGTCTTGGCGTATCTAAGCATTTTCAAATGTCAGCACTGTGAGTCCAAACTGGAGTAGGTGGGGGCTGGGGAAGATGGATGTGAGCCACACATACAGCTGTTGAGATATATCAGTAAGACTGGATGACTAGACTGGTTGTGAGTGAGACTTCTATTAATGCACAGAGAGTAAGAGTAACTGGGCTGCTCAGGTTACGGTCTGAAGACAGTTTGTTGGGATTCATGTTTGGGAACTATACTGTCTTCAAGCAGTGAAATGTATACTCATCAAATATAGCCAGTGCCAAAGCTGTGTATACTCTATAATAAAAAGAGTTCCAAGGTATTCCAAAGTCTATGTCAGGAAAATTTGGCAAAAACTGAATTCTAGAAGCCTGGGAACTTTGTTGCTGTTTATAGGGAAGACAAAGTCCAACTCTCAGCACCAGATGTTTTTACTTAATAAACCTTTTATCTTAACCTTTACTTAACAAACCTTTTCAACAGACATTAGAACACGTAGAAGTTAATGTAGTAGAAATAAATAAGACATAAATAAAAGAAATAAAGAGGACATGTGGCTAGACATGCCTCTTGATAACATAGAGGCTGCAGATCAGATATCCAAGAAGAAATGTTGGTTCTAGCCCAATGGGCTCATGAAAACTCAGGGCTATGCATTACTAGAGGATGGGTGCTCCAGTGAGGTATTCTGTATAGGCTTACTTTAACAGTAGCTGCAGTCTGAAAACTTTATTCAAACATTAAACCAAGTGCCCCTTTAGAATGGGACGTCTGTGTAGGGATAACTGACTTGGGCAATGATGACAGATGGTGGATCCCTTCCTTGATCTGGGAGATGGCAACAGTTATTAACAATGGTGGACACCTCCTGTGGCTAGCTGGTGGTTATTCTCATGCATGAATTATCCCACAGGCCAGAAATATGATTCAATCTGACAATGGAGGTTACTTCACTGGTGAAGAAGTACAAGAATGGGCTACTGAACAGAATCTCCAGTGGGAATTTCATATTCTCCATCATCCCAAGGAAACAACTTTTTGAGAGGACCCAAGACCAGTCTTAAAAAAGGAACTTTTTTGAAACAAGCTTAAATTCATGACAGACAAAAGGAAATACTTCTTGACAGAGATAAAAGAAAATACTTCTTTATACAGTGAGTGATATGGAATTCACTGCCAAGTGATGTGTAGTGATCATCCCTAAAAATCTCATCTCTCCTCCAGGGCTCTGAAAAATCCTTGTGAGTTAAGCCTCATGCAAATCCAAGTGATTGTCAGTCAATCCAAGTGATTTTCATGCAAATCCAAGTGATATCAGCCCATGGAACTCCACTGGATGGGTGAGCCCATTATTTCTAACTGGTAGTTGGGAGCCTGTTATCGATGCAACGAACATGAAATTAATCAAACTCGAGCACGATGGAAGACAGAAGGGCCTGACGTGATGTGGTCCATGGGGTTGCGAAGAGTCGGACTCGACTGTGCGACTGAACAACAAGAAGTTGGGAGCCATCTTTATATAAATTATCCATCCACACATCATGTTTAGCTTATTAAATTCTTTATTTCCTGTTAAATAAACCTCCGTTGTTTTATTTATTTCATTGGATTTCTTGACCTGCCTTCCCCGCTTACGTGGGGCTCAGGGCAGTTTACAACAGAAGAATTTAATACATTATAAAACCGATCAAAACCATAAAAATTCAATATTAAAAATATTCAAACATAAGTATTTGAAAACATTTTAAGAACAAGATGGCATATCTAGCATTCAGTTATGGGGCGCGTACCGGGCAGATATAAGGAACCGTCGCTGGCCTCAACCCAGTTTCAATATGTGTCTTGTCTGTCCAGTGGGGAAAAAACAGCAGACACATCAGTGTCTATTTACTGAATTGTTTCAGCCTTTGTCCAGCAGGTTTCCAAATAAGAAACTTTTACATGCTACCAATCTTTAATTTAAATTTGTATGCCCATTTTTATTTGATTGTGGGTGGTTGGGTGGCTGGAGAGCCAGTTTGGTGTAGTGGTTAAGTGTGCAGACTCTTATCTGGGAGAACTGGGTTTGATTTTTCACACCTCCACTTGCAGGTGCTGGATGACCTTGTGCAAGCCATAGTTCTCTCAGAGCTGTTCTTGAAAGAGCAGTTCTGGAAAGAGCTCTCTCAGCCCCACCTACCCCACAGGGGAGGGGAAGGGAAAGGAGTTTGTAAGCTGCTCTGAGACTCCGAGTGAAGTAAATCCAATCTCTTCTTCTCTTTCTCTTCTATAAAGAAGCCATAAGAAGAGGCTGGGGTGGATGGATGGATATTTTTAATCCAGAAGGCAGTTGCCTCATCTCATGGCCACCAAAGGTATAGAACTTTAAAAGGTATTGAATAGATCCATGGTCTATCAGAGGCCACTCTGGTAGTCCTTCAGCCAGCAAATGTCCAACACGTTTGAACAAAAAGAACTAAACATCATGGAAAGAAATTTCTATGAAGATCGTCTGAAAGGACACTGTCTTTTCTCCTCAGTCCATTTGTCTTTTTCAAATTTGGCTGAATCTGCATCTGCTGTGTAAAGCAGTTTCAGTCTGCTGTGGCGCCGTTGTACTCTGTTCCCCTTTCCCTCCCATTCTGGCTCAGAATAAAGGCTAGCTGTCTGCATCAGTCCTCACCATGGCAACCACAGGGGTGCAGGAGGGAGAGCGCGAGAGAGAGGGGGAGAACTCCTGGGGCGCTAGCAGGGCACTATGTTGTGGGGAGGAAATGGCACCCACGACTCGCCTGTAGAAAGTAAAGGGGGGGTGACCTGAGGGGGGGCAGAGGGGTCTGGAAAGTGAACAAGCTGGGTGGGCATGCTTCTAACCCATCAGCAAAAAACAAAAACATGATTGCAGAACAATGTTCCTTGGCTGCTTTTAAACACACAGACGATGGGGGGGATTCAGTTCCAGTTGTCTGCTTTTTGCTCACAGCGTCTCGAGGGCAGGGAGGAGCAATTGGAATTGCTTTAAATTAGATCCAGATAATGCAGTGAGATGCTGTAGTGACCTCGGAGTGGCCACTACAGGGCAATAAAATGATGCAGACAGCCAATGCTGAGTCGATGCAATAGGAAGGCAACAGCGGTATGCAATGTAGACAGGATTTTGTGAGATGATGTGAAATTGAAGGCACAGCGGCGGAAAAGACAAATGCAGATTGGACCTTTGTCTTTCTCCAGGTTAATTGGTATTGGAGAGATAGAATGTAGAAATTTGAGGGCATTCTAGGTCATCTTCTTGTGACTATTTTCTTTCTGGACTTTTCTGATTATGTTATGCAGCGTGGTTATATACAGAAGACCACACACTCATTGCCTGACGTCTCCAATTTGATTATCTTGATTAGCAATAGATGTTGGGAGCAATGCTCCCTCTAAGTTGTGGAGTCTTGTGAGCAAAAATTCTACTTTGTGAGCTACTGGCATTAACGTGAGTAAGCAATTTGGCTACTGCATAAATTAGTTTGCTCTGGAGCCATCCTTCCTGAGATAAGACAAAAATGTGTGAGCCGGAGGCTAAAAAAACTGTGAGCTACCTCACACTAACTCAGCCTAGAGGGAACACTGGTTGGGAGAGGCCTTATTCTGCAGGACAGTTGTTGCCTGTCAGTGGGTAATACTGAGCTAACTCGGTCATGTTTAGTGACTGGCGATGCTTTTGTTAGGACTATTTTGAACCTCTTATTACATCACTTGCTAAGCATGCACCACACAGCCCGATACGATTTATGAAACTAGGTGCTCACATGAGCACAAGTTGCCAGAAATAACCATGGTATGCCACAGGTTTGCATTTAGGGGAACACCTGTCTTTACCCATTTCATAGGATAGTTTAATAGTTGTCCATGTTCTCTTTCATGACATGAATTTAATTGAAGCCCCCATCCATTTCATTGTTTTTTACAAAAAGGACATGTGCAAACCTCCAGATTAACAGCTGAAGCATCATCAAAAGTGATAGATTTACCCATTCTTTTACATAGTGTTCAAGTTGTCAACCAGGAGAATATAAGAATACTGAATGGCTTAGGGTCCATAAGCAAGGTCTGATCAGCTTTGGAAAACTGGCATGTGGGGCGTGCTTACTGCATAGGTGTATTTTACATTGCATATTGGACAAAGTCACCCATAATTATCTGGGAAACCGCTTTTTTCATGAGAGTTTACAATCTCAAAATGTGCCATGGCCTTCAGTATGTGGTTCCTACTGTTTTATAAATCTAAATCCCTGCATATCAAGAAGTCTAGAACTGTTGTTAATTTCAACACAATTTCTTAAATCTATCAGTCACAAATGTCAGAGGAACCCATCAAGTGGCTACAACCTCTGCTAGGGAAATAGCCAACATAATTTGGCACTTGGTGATCATTCCATCATAGGAAGAGAATGCTATCTGATAATGTTACCATGAAGAGATTTTGTGAAACACTTTCCTCCCCAATGCCCCCCCCCACTACATTTCAAAGAAAAAACCAGGGTGGGAAAGGGAAGGATGTTGCTTCTGAGCAGGAGAGAGCATGCCATTACATTATTTTTTTCACAAGAAGCATGTGGTAGCTCAAAATTTCCCCAAGCAATAGATAAGTACATTTGTATCCTCCCAGCTTTCTACATAGAAGAGTGTCTTTGAGTCTATTTGTGGACTGAAATTAATGAACTGTTGGCTGAGCACTGCCATTGCAGTACTTAGTATGATTATTTTTTCTTCTGCTGATGTGGCATCTAACAGTATCCACTGGCGATTAATAATACTTTTAAATTGTTTTTATGTTACTGTGTGTGTACTTAACTACCACATGGTAGGGGGATGAGGGGTTCCTGTCCATACCCCTCCAAAGAATCCAAAAAGGGCATTTCTACTCAGGCCTCGTTTCCTGCCACCACATGGAGATCCCCCCCCCCAATAGCCACTGGGCTGAGTGCATGATGTCACTCCCAGAAAACCAGAATTGACATCACCCCATCTCTG